TTTTTTTTTTTTTTTTTTTTTTTTTGAAGATCAGTTTGAGTTTTGGCATTCATCTAAGCTTTAAAAATACTTTCGTTTCAGTTATGATGCATTTTTGTTACTGAGAAGTCTATAAAAACAAAAGACAGAGGCAATCAATGAATGAAAACAAAAAAACACCCCATAGAAATACTTAGTAAAACTTTATCAGTGATCAAGCTTTCACAGCTTCTGGCTGAATACATACAATTCTAGGTGTATTATTTGAGATGTAGTCTCAGATTATTTTGGTTGGAGAGAGATGAGTCAACTATTTGACAAGTCTTCCAGTGAGAAAGGTCACAGTCAAATAACTTCAACTTCCTTTGAGCTAAGCTACTGCGACTGAGCTCCTTTTTTAGCTTGAAAAAGCAGGGGGTTTAGAACTTCTGTTTAATCTTTTCAAGAAAATAGAAGACAGAACAGAAGACAACAGAAGGTGACAGAAGACCTGCATGTTCTGGTAATGTCCTCACTGGCATTTTGTATATAAATAACCCTACTTCTTTCTATCTAGTGTTCTTCAGCCTCCAGGGATTATTACTGCTTCATTTGCCATCACCTCAAAAATGGAGCTTTTACAGACAATCCCCTAAACTTCTGTGTTCCCTTGGGCTTTCAGGGAACTCTCAAGCTTTTTTCCATGAACCTCAAGGTTCATGTTTAGCTGTAATAAAAAGCACTAGTCAAGCAGGTACAATGCACCATACAATCTAGATGACTCAACTATATTGCCATGGTTATAGACATAAGTTTTCAGACATTACAAGAACAAGCCAACATTTCTAAGCATTTCATTCCATGTAACTGATGCTACTAATATTAAGGGTAAGAGACAGCTCCAGATTCAGACGCCTAAACTGAGGTGTCTACAGAAGATCTAAGATATCTAACTCCCATCCATTATAGTCAAAGGAAATTGAGGCAGTAAAAATCAATTGAGCTTAACTACTCTGATTTAGCTCACTTTCAACTATAGGCATCAAGGTGACAGTGCCTTAAAACATTTGAGATGCCACAAGGGTATGCCACCACTCCAGAAACACAGGCCCTGTGTTATATGTGCCAACTCCATGAAGATTTCTCAGATACCTTAGAGCATCTAAAATGGCTCTATAGTCTACAAGGTGAATAAGTATCTAAGCTCCCATTCACATACCAAAGTTTAGATGTCTTGATCGTTAAACTGAATCCCAGACTACATTATTTCTAGTCAACAATAGATCCAAGACTCGGCTAAGAACCTTCCTAACATATCCAAGTCCAAATTCCTACATATATCTAAGTAAAGTTGTCAGCTTTTCTTTAAACTGATTTATTCTTGCAATAAAAATATTGCATAGTGCCAACAAATGTTTTATTATCCAAATATCTATTTTGGAACCAAGATTTCTATAAAAGTCTCATCAAACTGGTATCCAGCCTCTTAAAGTAAGCTCTGTTTTCTGTATAACCCAGATGACTTATTTTACTAATACCAGTATTGAGTTGGACTGAACTGCTTTCAACACTGATGTTTTCTTGCTGGAACTTCCCTCATGTGAAACATGTCTCCTGGATACATCCAGGCTACACAACTCACTAGCAGAAATGGTTGGCTCCAGTGACATACATGTGGAAAGCTAACATTAAATACCAAAAACTAAAAAAATGTATGCATGTACAACTGATTTCTGGTGTAAGCATCAGCAGAACATCAGTTACCCTAAAAATGCAAAAAAAATTGCAAGCAAGTGGTGCAGCCTTGCAGACTAGAAACAGGAGGGAATAGCTCTTAAGTAACCAAAGTATCCTAATCTCCAAAAGAACCATTCACAGACAGATGTACTTCCCTTGCTGACAATGTGTATTTGCCAGTATTGGGAAATGGACAGGGCTATCAAGGACATTTCAGTTTCTATTCCAAAAAAATACAAAAGTGCATATGCAGTGTTGCAGACCTTTCCTTGAAATTGTAATCACCTATCTTTTGGTTCCCCATTCAGTGTCCCCAGAATTTATTGATACCACCACTCTGAAAAGCAACCTTTTCCTCCCTCCTTCTCAAGCTTCCCCAGCTGAAAGCAGCTTTGTATTGTAACTGTGAAGAGAGAAACAAAACTTGCTGTAATTAAGACATACAGAAATGAGAAACAAGCATATGATGATACACTGAATAATCTTGGAAAGAATATAAGAGATTAATTATATAGTATGCAGCTGTAGCAGTGGACCACTCTACTAACACAGCTGACTGACATCCTAAGTCCAAGCAACCAGGCAGGCCTTGAAACCTGCAGAATGAACCCTGGGTTTACAAACTAACCAGCTATTTTTTGGATCAGCATTATGCAGCCATTAAATTCTCTTCTCTTAAAGGTAGTATCACATAACAAACAGCTGCAAACAGTAAATTGCACTGCTTTCATCATTAGCAAGTAGAAATGTTAGTAATCTTAATTGGCTTAATATAGAATTAATAAAAAATATGGTGAAAGATTGTATTACTAGGTCATTATACTTTACTTTCTGATAAACTACGCTAGACAGACTTCTATTACCTAAATTGTCATTTAATTTCCATGGCCTCAGCTCTTATTTTCCAGACTACATCAGATGGCTATTCAAGAATGTAGAAAAGAAATCTATATGGATATTAATTGTGAATGTTTTTATCATGTTTAATGCAAAAAAACCCCAAAAAACCTATAAACTTCGCTATAAACCTGTGCCAAGTACTGAATCCTTGAGAGCTTTATGAAATTTTGGGGGCTATCTTACCACTCTTTTTCCTTTACCAAGTGGAATATAGTGTAAGTATAAAAGCAGACGGCTATTGTAGTCAAGAACTCAAATATTAAGAAAAAAAAATATTCAGATAATGGACCCATCCCTCACATGTCCGAAAAAAATGCATCATCAAGGGCCTGACAGGATTCTGACCATGCATAAATCAAAGCGTTCACGGATGAAACAATGCTGTTTCAAAGCAAGAAATTCTTCTTTCTAGTGAAAGAATGTACATATAATTCACAGTTTTCTTTACATACATTGTCTGTAAGTTTTGCTAAGTATGTAGCAACGAAGCGCCTGTTTTGTGACAGGGTCTGCTTCTCCATTTGGAATTCTTAAGCACTCAGAATAGCCATCAGTCACCACTCTCATTACTAGAACCACAGGCAAAGATTATCACAGCATCTGAAATAGCAGCCAAGGGATAGAAGGGTGCACATAACTTTCTCAGTTAATATTTATTCATCTTCCTAAAAATTATAAGCTTATCTGGACTTTGCCACAGAGACTACATACAGATTTTATTTAGTTCTATCTCTTTAGTTAAGATGTGAGGAAAAACATCAAGGACCAGATTGACAAAGGCGGCAAACTCTTAAAACATAAACTCAAGAGGAAAAATAAGAGACAGAGAGCCCAGAATCTTAGTGTGATTTCTGATTTTGTTACCTATCGTTTAACCAGTTACAGAGCAAAAGCAAAGTTGGGCAACAGCCTTCTGGAGTATGGAAAAAATTGACTGAAGGAAGATTTATACTGATGACAGAATATTTTGATTTTAAACTACTATATCGAATGGATTCACATGGCTCTGCTTTTGCCAAGATACAACCTGTGTATCAATTGCATCTGCTTAGAATCTGCATAGAAAAGATCAGACTGAAATAAATCATGGAAAAACTGTAGAAAAATGGAGTATATCACTTTTCTTTTTATTTGACTGCTCTCCAAAAGAGCTACATTCATCAAAGCAAATGCTAGATTAAAGAAAAGTGAACATTATGGAAATAAAATCTGAATGGTAGTTAAGGAAACCAGCCAACATAAAACCATCTGAATTTGCTATCAGGCACACAAGAGTTCTACCTGAAAGCAAATTCATGAAGGTGAAAAAATGACAGGAATCCCCTCCCAGCAGACCAAATTAATTTCAAGTTGCTACCGTCTTCAAAGCAAACCAAGGATTTACTCATCCTTTCATCCATCTGTGCCACGCACAGAAACTCAAGTCTAAATCAATATGAAAATAAAAGCAAAACAGAAAAAAGGCACCAATAAAATTATCTTAAGAAAACCATTTCCTATGTTGACACTGAAAACATATCCTGCCATTAAACATTAAACACAAGCATATTTGACTGAACCTGAAGGAAAGGTTGCCCCTCCATTCCTGCCTTTCACATTTTCTAGTGTCTAATTATGCAGCCCCATTAGAGGCTTTTTCTAGCTACATAACTGCCGCTTTTCCTAAAGGAATCTATCGTGCCAGATTCATCACTTGTACAAAATGAGAACAAATATCTTGTTTGAACCCGATTAATCTGGAGCAGGCATTAAGCACTTGTATAAACACAGCGTCTACACAAGACAGTATGGAGTAGTAACATAGATGAAGAAGTAGTTTTGATATGAACTGGCAAAACACAACATTTTCAGGCTAATAGCTAAGGCATCTCCAGAAAAAAAAAATATTTATGCAATGAAGGCAAAGTATAAGATTGTGACAGATCTAAGGAAATACTCCTAAAAAGGTTTTAAGTCTTACATGGGATCCTTAACCTTATTTGCAACATGTTTCAGGCAACAGTGAGAGATCTACTCAGGCTAAGAAAGATGAAGGATCATCAATTTACATCCGTTTCATAACCAGTTAGCTACAAAAAACAGCCTGTCCACTTCTTGAAACATTCCAATAATCCACAGTAATGTGAACCAGACCAGTAACACCAAAATGAAGTCCTTTCAAACAAAATTGAACAAAAAAATCATAGAATCATAGAATGGTTTGGATTGGAAGGGACCCCTAGAGGTCATCTAGTCCAACCCCCCAGCAGTGAGCAGGGACACCGCTAACTAGATCAGATTGCTCAGAGCCCCATCCAACCTGGCCTTGAACATTTCCAGGGATGGGGCCTCCACTACCTCTCTGGGTGAAACCTGTTCCAGTGTTTCACCACCCTCATTGTAAAGAATTGTGTCCTTGTATCCAGTCTAAACCTACCTTGTTTTAGTTTAAAACCATTACCCCTTGTCCTGACACAGCTGGCCCTACTAAAAAGATTGCCCCCATCTTGCCTATAGGCTCTCTTTAAGTATTGAAAGGCTGCAATAAGGTCTCCCTGCAGTCTTCTCTTCTCCAGGCTGAACAACCCTGACTCTCTCAGCCTGGCCTCATAGGAGAGGTGCTCCAGCCCTCAGATCATTTTTATAGCCCTCCTCTGGACCGCTCCAACAGTTCCATGTCCTTCTTGTGCTGAGGGCTCCAGAGCTGGATGCAGTACGCCAGGTGAGGTCTCACCAGAGCAAAGGGGCAGAATCACCTCCCTCGACCTGCTGGCCATGCTTCTCCCAGTGCAGCCCAGACTTTTCTTTTGCAAGACACATATAGCACAGATGGTTCTATATTGGTCTTGGTAATTTGCTATAAAGAAGGAGCTAGACAGTCCTAATCATGCTAGGTAAACCATAATGTAGCAGGGGCCTGGAGGTTGCTTTGTGTTACTTACTATAAAATGCACTTAAGTGCAACTCACAACAGTGCTTGAAATTTCTCCCCATTTCCAATGGGTTTCAGGTTTTCACATAATTCAAACAGGAAACGGTTCAAATTGGAGTGCCTCTCCATCTTATGAAGAAAGCATTCAGCTAATAATGATGAAGTCTGAGCCTCCTCATGTGCTGCATAACCCCACAGGTGGGCTAATTTTCCTGTCTAAATGCAAACATGAAAACTCTAAAAATGTTTTGAGTGCAGATGTATCTTTTGAAGGATAAGATGCTAAATGAAAATGCTCTGATACTCTTCTGAGACAGCAGGTGAAAAGAGCTTCAGTTCTACTTTCTGATAATTGGGCAAAAGTTTACCAGATGTATTACTCGCTTTGCGGGAATTTTTGGAGAACTTGTATCCCAGGGGACACAGTCAAGGCTTGCAGAAAAAGGAAGAGTAGACAGTATTTGGATTGAGAGACAATGTGAAAATTCCCATGAGGAGGGGAAACTTTACTTTGTCTCATTTGGGCAGAAGAACAAAAAAAGCACATGAAGCTTGTGACTTTTCAAATATCATGGAGAGTGGCTTGGCAACTGTATTGGCCAATTCCCTCAGGACTGTGGGAGGCATCTCATCAGATCCCATGGACTTATGCATGTTCAGGTTCCTCAGGTGGTCACGAACCTGATCTTCCCTTACAGCAGGAGGGATTTTACCCTCCCGGTTCCCCTCATGCCATCCATCGACTTGGGAGGGGCGAGGAGAGAGGTTTCCAGTGAAGACTGAGGCAAAAAAGGTGTTGAGTACCTCAGCCTTCTCCTCATCTGTTGTTACCAGTTTGCTGGTCTCACTCATCAGCGAGGGTACGCTTTCTTTAACCATCCTTTTCTGGCTGACATACCTGTAGAAGCCAAAATACAATAACGAAACTAACTCAGAAAGACACCTGTATTCTATTTGTTTGTTAACCTCCACACTACGGATTAGCACACTAAACTTATTTGATTAGTTCCTAAGATTCAAATGGCATATTCTCATTACTCATTACAGAAGACAGAAAAGTGCAAAAAGTCTCACAAATAATGATGGCTATATAAAAAAAACAAGACTCTCCATCAAAGTCCTAGGTGAAATCCATGACACAATGGATCCACAGGACTTGAGCAAGCATCACTTCTAGCCTTAACCTCCCTGAACACCCAAGGGACATCTTCCTTTGGGGCGCATTACCCTTCTGGACATTGTTACACAAAACTTTTTGTGGTTTGGTTGTTGACATGAAAAGTGTAGCCCCTTCTTTGTCATTCTTATTTAATGAAGTTCCACGCTCACAAGGTGCCCAATAGTCAGAAGACCAGCCAATGAAGAAAAGGAAAGCATAGTACAGAAGTACACTGTACTTGTAGTTCATCTAGTGGATGCAACGTAGCTGAAGCCATTACTGGGGATTTTGTTTTATTAGTTTTACTATTTCTACACATATTTGAGAGTATATCTTATTTCCAGTCTGGCACTAGGTAATCTTCAAATGTATTTGTCTCACACTATTATGGGAGCTCCCACATGAGTATGTTAAGGACCTGCAGTGTCTTCAAGGGCAAGAAATAGAGAGGTAAGAAAGAAATAGAAACAAAAAAGCTCAGCACAGACATTTTGATATCAAGGCAAAATTTTCCTTTTCCGAGTGTCAAGCTTCTCCTCTAAAAGATGAAAAGATCACAATTTTATTCAAGGCTCAAAAAGTTAAGCAACAAAATACACATACTGATTTTTGCAACTCAAAACAAATTGAACAGAAGTGTTTCAAAGAGGATAAAAACCTGCTCTTTACCTTCAGTCACCCAAACTGCCTTTTGGGGGTTTTAGACAGCTTATGGTAGAAACTTTAAATGGAAAATGGTGGTGGTCTGTACCTTGACTACCTATATTGTAGTAATGCTGCCAGGCACTATTCAGACTATTTCCCATGAAGGTACCGGAGCCCTCAGCTGTTCACAGTCACTCCTGATAACTAGGTCACCAGAGCCTGATGGCAATCTAAAAACCTTTTGTTATTTCACCATTGCTCCTGACTGTTTTGCCAAAAGTACCACTGCTTGCTAGATAAAGTGGGAGTAGCAATCTTCCAAACTAACATGGCTAGTTTCGAGAGGGACTAGTCTGGCTCTCCTTCTCCAAAAGGGTTTGTATCAAAGGTAGTTTTTGGTGTTGTACAGAAGCATCATTTTTAAGTCTCGCAGCATAGCAAAGCAATCCTTGAAAGGAACAGACTTCTTTCATCAGTACTGGCACTCAAAATAAGACCATATGTCTAAGCTATAACATGCAAAATTTTCCAACAACAGCTCATTTTTCTAGTAGGAAATGTGACTTACATTGATTGAACTTTAGGATCCATTTACAAGATTCATGAGAAAAACCGGTTTCCTTATAGTTAAAAAAAAAAAAACCAAAAAAAAAAAAAAAACCAAACCACCACTTCTCACTGCTCACAGGAAGCAAGCTTCAATACTGCAAAGTCACTAGCTTTCCTGGGGACACAGACCCAACTTAGTTATATCTATCTGCCTCCAACAGGAGCCAAAAAAAGTAGCTGACTTCTCTAGAAAAAAGTAAAAACAGGAAAAGCACAATAAGGAGTTGCTGGGAGCTGCTGAAAGAGCACAACAGAAAGCAGAGAAAAAGTGCAGAACTGAAATGATGTGATTGAAAGCAATGGAAATGGAAAAGTTAAGCAGAAGGCCGAAGCAGATGGAGAATGAAATGCCAGCTAAGCAAGTGAAACAGTAACAGGATTTATTTTCTATGGATAACTGAAAGAGAACTCAAAGGTAGGAGTCATAGAGCAAGTCCAACCTGTGCATGGAAACACTAAGATCAGGGAACAGGCATGAATGCAAATGTGAAGGCTGAAGAAATCAAGCTCAGAAGAATACAAGGGGGACTGCACTGGAGAGTGAGGGAGGGCTCTCCAGCAGCGCTGAAAATCTATAATCTGGTGAATGAGTGCTTACAGTGATTACAGACATTCACTAGTACTGGAATTAATGGCCTTGGCCAAGTCATTTGTTCCCACCTACTAATCATGATCTAAGCTTTAGGTTCACCTGTATCACCATCTCCAAGCTTTCGTCATGTATCTTGACAGAACAAGTACTCATATACAACTTCCATTTTACACCTGTGTGCATCCTTCCAGGCTGGCTCTCCATCACAAGGAACTGAAACAACAATTTAATGACCTCCCTTCCACTGGGCAGCACAAAGCACATCTACTGACTCCAGGCCTGAGAGCAGCATCCCTGATTGTCAACTGGGGAAAAGCAACTGCTTTCTGAAAAGGCACTGCAGAAACAATTCTCATGTATTGCACTATCTCCCCGCAAGTTCACAAGGATGAACCCTGAATCCCAGCTGGCTTTCAGAGGGGGTTACAAATCACACACTTAGAGGGGAATACAAGGGTGCTTCAAACAAAGCAGGTACCCAAAACACATCATCCACTGGGAAAGCATCTCCCAGCATGGAAAGTTTTTAAGGCTAGAATCTTCAAATTACTGTGTTGAACCAGAGCTATTTACTAGTCCTCTGTAAAATGAATGCTTTTGTTTAAAGGCTTAAACGAGTCTATTATTAGTAGTACTACAGAAAACAATAAAAAAACCCTACTAGAGGTACTCTAATTTCTCCCATATGTGGGAGAATGAGCTGAGCAGCATTTAGGGATTTCTAGCCTCTTGTATTCTAAAGTAGGGACACAAGTTGTGAAAGGTACATATGCAACTCAATAAACATGGATAATTAGAAAATTTTGGATTTGTGTGCACAGAATCCACATTTATCCTGTTACACACACAGGCATATTCCTGATGAACTAGGTAACTTCCTCCATAGACTACACAATTAGCCAAAGAAGAAACATCTTCTAGTACAAACGACAAAAGAAAAATGTAATTTTAAAGTAATTAAGTCCTAAAGCTTTTGTTTGGATAATTACCTATGATACTATGGTATCTAATGTCTGTCGTTTCTAAAGTGTCAGTGACAGCCAAGTTCAAAATCTGTTACCTAAAAGTAGGTCAGGAGAACCTCTCGCCTGGGCACACATAGCTCTGTCCTTCTCCCCATTTCCTCTCCCAGTGGATCTCGTACTCACAACTGCGTCGAGTTTGAATGCCTGCTCATTCTTTGCTATCAGGCACACTGTTAAGGAAATCTGCCCATTCAAACCCCAAAACCAGTCAACTCACCTCTTTCTAAGAGGGATTCTACATTACAGGACATTCAGAGTCTTTCAGAAACAAAACTTTTTTGTTCATTTGTTTGTTTCAGATGAACATTGCATGAAAATACACA